TACAGTAAAGAAAGAAAAATCTATCTATACAACAATGTATAAAAAAGTCTACCCACGGCCACAAAAATCCCTTATCTTGCAACACTTTAAAGTCACAATAAATGATTTTGAAAAATATGAGATAAAAAAATTAGTAAATTGAATTTCATTTTTAAAAAAAGTATGGTTTCATATGAAGTACACATTATAGAGAAGCAAAATGAAAGTGACATCACCTCTAAGATCATGTGGAGAGACATGTTGTTTTATACCAATTCCTTGTCACGCAATTCTATAAGCACAATACACAGAAGCAGATGAACAAATGAGTGAATGTCATGGTTCTGCATATCTTCAATACTGACACACAATCACTTTCCAGTGGAGAAGATAAACCACAGTTTAGAACTCATTGGGATTGTTATAATTATGTTGCCAGTGGACAATTACATAAATTTATTTAATAGAAATTGGGAGGTGTTCCACCAAACCACATACAGACTTTCAACTCAAATCCTGCTGAAAATATATTTAAATACCCAGAGCATTAAACTTTGACATAGCACATGATTAAATCAAATCCGTTTTGTTACCCAACGCAAGTAAACTTGCAGTGTTTTTACTTTCTTTTGGTCGTATGAGACCTCAACCATTGGCCTTGGTTTTCCTATATTCTCCCTTGAAGTGGATTCAAACCCTGTGAAGGAATCATTTGTTTTCACGTCTCCCATACTTTCCTGCCTTACTTTTAAAATGATGTGGAAAAAATGTGGAGGAGAGGTAGGGTGATTCCACTTGCAAACACTATGGTATACCTGAACTTGAGCACTGCTGGGGCTATTTCCCCAATGGAGCCTTTCCACCCTGGGAATGGAGGTGTGCTTGTGTGGGGATGACAGCAGCATTGCCTGTGAGAAGATAAGATGGCATTTTCTTCCACCCAGACTTCCTTCTCAGGGCTCTGCAGGCTTATGTTTAGATCTGCAGAAGAGTGAGCACAGTGACTTTCCAATCACATTCATTTAATCTGTTACAAAATAAAAAACAGTGGTGGCTCCTCTACATGCTTGTATTCTCCAGCTGATACTCTGATTTATACTGATTAGAAGATTTTTACATACAGCATGATGACTGAGGCTTTTGATTTTTGATAGTGTTTGTTCTCGAATTCATTTGAACAGCCATAGTATTTTCCCATGCCCAAGATGGGGGGATGACATTTTAGGTGCAAGATTTGACCGACCAGTTTTTATTTAGAGACTACATTTAACAGGAAACATGAACTCTTCCAAAAGAACATTTCAAGTAACCTTAAGGTCTGCAATGATATAATATAACTGTAACAGTTAATTTTTACATACTGAAGCCAACCAGGAAGGGATGCTGTTTTGTCTGACATTATCTCACAAGTCACCTGCATCCAGGTACTCTATATTTGAAGTCCTGGTTATTAGTCACCTGCACCTTCCAGTTACCAGGGGTCAAAAGCTATGTATAATGTGTGTGATGAGCTAAAATTTTAGACTAAACTGGGTTGAAGAAGGGCATAAAGGGGGGACACAAACGGACAAAACTTCTGAGGAATTTATTTGCTTTTTAATAGAAACAGGTGAAATAGGGAAATGCATAAAGGAAAATTTGAATTCTCACACCGTACATTTGTGAATAAGTATGTATGCTGAAACTTCTCGCCAGCTTCTTTGTCCCAGAGAAATCAAACTGCATTAAAATTCAGGCACTAAGGGTAGAAAGTGGGTAAAGGGTTTATAGTAAATGTGTCTCAGAATTCTTTTTCTCCTCATTGAAGAAATGAACTACATGGCACCAAAAAGATGTCGGGAACCCTAAAGAACATGTTCCTCTACGCTTGCCTGTGCGGATGCAGTCTCAGGGAGTAAACAAGATGGAAAACACATTTAGTTGTGTCATTCCTTTGCTGTAACAACATGACATACAATTGGTGACTGAGCTAACAATGCACGAAGTACAAATTGTCATTCAAAGGGGTCCCATATATAGAACTGATGCTAATCATTACATTGGATATTTTTCAAAGTACCAACTACTAAACACATCATAGGAAAAATGTGAAAAAGAATAGACAAGGATAGAATTTAAAATTGTGTAAGTAGCACATGGAAAAATGTCACAAATGGAAATTTCCAGAAGGTTCTCTTCTACTTGATTGACTATACATGTACAGTAACCAACATACATTTAAAAATCATATTTCTTTTGACCACGCATGATTGATGTTCCAGAACTTCTGGTTCTCAAAGTCGTGAAAAACAAATGAGGCAGGACACTGTTTTTAATGTCCACTTACAAGGTTTGGTTTTATTTAAAAAGTGTATAAACATGCATTTTTTTTTCCTTTTTAATTTTTTTTTTCAATTTACTCATTCAAAATGGGTCAAAGTTATTTTAGTTGGTAGCCAATTTCTGAGAATGTACCATAAAATATTTATTCTGATAAATCTACTTAGTGTGAACTGAACATACTCTGAGCACTGCTTTTTTAAGCGCTTACAATTTGGCTATACATTTGGTGGCATAAACTTCACTTCTTAATCAAATAAAACACAAAATTGTATATAGACTGCATTATTTTTAAAAAGTCAAGATTTTAAGTGATGCAGCTCTATCCTCTAGTATGTACTGTACATGTATTAGAAAGATGAAACACGATTTTGCAATAGTGTTTATATTTGGAAGCTGCCTGAGTATGTCCTAATAATAAATTGCCTCTTTAACAATTTGCTAGATATTCTGGAGTTCATTTTGTTCATTTCCTTGGGGAACTTCATATGATGTTCTGACTTAATAAGTTGGAGAGATTAATTACGGCAATTCAGAAAATTCTTTTTTAAAAAGAAAACTGTAATATAAATACAGCTTTTGTGAAACACCTTAATTCCTTTTGTTTATTTTAATTCTCAGATGGGCCAATTACAAGGACAGGTAAAGTTGTTCTTTTCTTTCCTTTCTTTCTTCTTTTTTAAGCAAGTTTAGTATATCTTTGCTACCTGTATATTTTAATGCATATTTAGTCTAAAGACTTAAACTTTCTTCTTTTGACCCCTGCCTTTTTCAATAGCAAAAGCCACGTTTCTGCTTTTTTTATTGACTCAGTCCCTGATGTTCCAAAAAGGCTTGTGTCAACATCATTGTTCCTTCACATCTTCCTATTTCTACACCCCAACTGAAAACCATCTAACATGATTGGTTACATCCAGCATTACCCAACCTAGCTTACAGTACAGAAACTCCCTTCACATTCAGTCTTTTTCTTCATGTCACGAGGAGTAGATTTGTGCTTATCACCAAATAAAATTGCAGTGCAAAATTTAAACATAAAAGTTACACAATTAAAAGTTCATATATGGCACCACAGCCTATTAATTCACATATAGTACAACAGACCAAGAAGAACAGACAATAATATGAACAGAGCTAAAAAGAGTGAGCTTGCATAGCAATGCACAAAAGAAATTATATACAGAGGAAAATCCTTTTCTTCATGGAGGGAGATTTTTGCTTTCTTTCTTTTTTATATACTCCTGGCAAAAAAGAGTTAAGGTGGGTGGTGTACTTAGGAGAAGAACACAAGTAAAATATCTGTGGGATATGTGTGGCTGTGTGTCTTTACATTGCATTTACAGTTCTTTTAATAGTACATAAATAAATTGTTCATTGCACTGTTTAGTGTCATCACTTCCATGAGTTCAGACCTGATGGTCCTTCAGAGCAGCTTTGCATATCTCCTCTCAGTTACTCTGTAAAGAGATAAAAAACAGAATGGTACAGTCAGAAGTCAATTTGCATTTTAATTATTCTTTCATCCTGACCAGTATGACAAAAAGCAAGGCCAACAGATAATACATTAAGATCTAGCCACCAAATCCATTTTGTGAGGTTGTGATTTTAGGAAATTTTACTGGGATAGGGATGGGAAGGAAATTTTACCTGAATAGAGATGAGAATGGAAAGAAAAAGAAACACTTTAAAATTTGGAGCTTTAAAATCCAAGTGGAGCTATTTTGGAGCTCCTTGTGAGTACATAATTAGTTCAAAATAAAAAGATAAAGAAAAGTCCAAGTAGCCATGAATCAAATTCAAAATTATAGATATATCTTAATAATAATCAGATTAGCAATAGACAGCAATAACGATAACTCGAATCAATAAAGAACTTTACAATTTTGGAAGTACTTTCACTTTTCAATATCTCATGAGATATTCAAAACAGTAGTGCTGTAGATGGCGTGAACATAACAGTAATGCTGTATTTCAGTTGAGGAAATGGAGACATTGGAAGATAGTTGACTTTCTCATGTCCCATAAACACTAAGTGGTTGTTGAGAAGATTAGTAACCGGGGCTGTTCTCTGAGCAGTGTTTTTAAATTGAATTCAAAGAAGCAGTTGAAAATATTCAGCAAGTATAATTCTGACATTGGGTAGCAGAACTTTCCTGATGAAATGAATACAAAGAGATCAATGCTTTTTACTGTGACATTCCTTTTTCTCTAGAACCTAGTATTTGATACTTAGAAAAGACATTGGATTTGTTGTACTAACTACAAATGCTAGTTCTTTAAGGATTAAAACAATATTCTAAGATATGTTGTTACAATAAAAATATAAACAACTGCCTAAAAATCAAAGACCAACTTTTCTAGGCTGGTCCCCAGATTAAAAAAAAAAAAAATTAATAAAGAAGAACTAAAACCCCCCCAAAAAATCAAACCTGTTGCCATCAAGTCGATTCCGACTCATAGCAACCCCATAGGGTTTCCAAGGGGCACTTGGTGGATTTGAACTGCTGACCTTTTGGTTAGCAGCCATAGCTCTTAACCACTGTGACACCAGGGCTCCAAATAGGAACTAGGGGATGAGAAATTCCTGGGGAGCTTCTTTAAAACTACTCAAGGGCCATTATGTCCCCCTTCTTCAATATGCTCAGTTAAAAGGGCAAAGAAAATTACAAAGTGGGTTATATTTAGTTTAAATCTTATAAGTATTAAATTGCGTTGCCTAAATTAAAACAATTTTCACAGTATAAATTGAACATGAAATAGCAGAGATGTGTATACAATTGACCACTGTGAAAAAGCAGTGGTCTAAGTTAGGACCAAACCTGTTCAAAATTATGATCGATTTTTTTCTCACAGTGGAGCAAGTTTACTTTTATTCTGAATTTAGTTTACTTATTATAGCAATATTATTAACCTTATATTCTTTTCAGATCACGATAGCTTTTTACAATTCCCTAAAGCACTTACATAATTCACCTGTAAACTGTCCTTGACTATTTGAGCCCATATATCCTATGTCAAGAAGGTCGCTGGCATTGCGCTGGTGGCCTCCCCTCAGTACCTCGGCTTTCCTGGGTCCTGTGGATCCTTTTGAGGAAGCCGTTCCTGATGAACTGTGACCGCCTGGAGATGGGAAACTGGGCTTGCTATAGGGCACCAAGGCCTCCTCTGAAAAAGAAACGCAAGGGCTGAGTTGAATAGCAACATGGGGCAAAACAAAAACTTAATTCTTAAATATTAAGCTCAGAATGGACCATTTCAAAATTACAAATATGAGGTTTAATATGACTTGGATATTAAAAGAATTTCCATGTGTAAGCAACATGCCCTACAATAGGAATTGAAGCAGGATTAAATTAAAAGAGATCTTGGGATAAATACACAATATTATATATTGTTTACAAATTTAAATTCTTTATAAAACAGAACTGCATACAATGAACCATAGTTTGCTTGACAAAGGCATATCTGAGAATAATTTCTAGAGTTCCATGAGGCTCTACTTCAATTTTCCCTTTACAATTGGAGGAACTTGGTTTTTGTTTTAGTTTAAATTATGGCAACACTTTCTCTATCAGTTTAGATAAAGGACTATAGTATTAGTAAATTAAATAAGTTTCTTAAATTTCTGTTTTTTCTTGGGATAGGAAGACAATATTTGAAAGACTGTGTGTTTCCTTAAAAGAAAAAAGAAACGTTTTATGCACCTTCTCTACAAATGATTCATGAAGTGTATTACTTAATAATTACTTAATTTGAAACAATTTTTTTCCTTCTCTCTGTTTTTTCCATCCTCTGTGTATTTTTCTGTCTTTCTAGGAATGGGGTTATGATTTCTGTGATTAGATGACTAAAAAATGCTGACGAATCTACAGTTTCTCTCCTTAGATAGTCTGTATGACAAAGATCACCTAATTTTCTTTCACAGCCTGGATTATTCTGTAAATAATGGTGTAAACTTCCTAAATGTTTCATTAACCCTGGATATTAAAATTGCCACCCTTTGGTCCTTGCAAAAACTACATTTTCCAAAACGTGAGCAACGATTTGTGACAAAATATAGTTATTGAAAATGCATGGTAGAGTATATCTCTGGAAAGAATTGATTCTAAATAAATAAATGAATGAGTAAGGAAACTCTTTAAAAAGTTTTTTTTTTTTAAATAGTAAATGAATCCTAGCCTGCAAACAGATGTTCCAAAAAATACATTTCTGTAATAGGCTCACCTTTCACCCTCCCCAGTAAAAAAATCCAGATTATAAACCATAAAATTTATTTTGTGACCGTTCCAGGAGGCCTGATTGTGTAAACAAGAACATTTCCCATTGAAGTATTAACAATCAACTAAAATTAATCAGCTGGAGAAGTGCAGGCCCAGTTAAACCTTTTCTAACATGAGGATTCTGTGAATGGGCATTAATTTGCAGAGTTATTTGTTATTTTAATTAATTCACCTATTAGACTGAAGTGAGTTCTTTCCAATAACGTGTTACTTTAGTTAAAATGAACAAACCAGTTGAAAACAGAGATTAAACTGACACTAAAGATGAAATTTGGCCACGTTATCAGGAGGGACCAGTCCCTGGAGAAGGACATCATGCTTCATAAAGTAGAGGGTCAGTGAAAAAGAGCAAGACCCTCAATGAGATGGATTGACACAGTGGCTGCATCAATGGGCACAAACATAGCAACGACTGTGAGGATGGCGCAAGACCAGGCAGTGTTTCATTCTGTTGTACAAAGGGCTGCTATGAGTAGGAATCGACTGGACGGCATCTAACAACAACAACAACAAAGATGAAATTTAGTGGTCTTAAAACTACTCAATATACATATTAAAGAGCAAAAAAAAAAAAAAAAAAATTAAATTGTCTCTTGAGCACTACAGATGAATCTTGGAGGTCTCTTAGGCTCAAAAATCCTCTGAAGAGGTTAACCTGAGGAAAAAGCATGAATGGACTCAGCTTTAGGGCATATATGCGGGTGACCTCTGCTGAGGAATTCCAACTTTAGTTAGTGATTCAAGCCAAATGTATTTCAGCCTCCCTTAACCAGCAGCCATTTCTAAAATACCTGGTAGGAAAAAAAAAAAAAAAAAAGATAAAAGTCCACACTTTCTTGGGACTGGGCAGAACACACCTGATCCGACACCTTGTTTGTGTGGGGCTTTCCGTATATCTTCTTGACGCTCTGTGGAGTTTATCCATTCCTGGGTTTGTCGCTGCCACTCTAGGGACGTTCTAGATGGACAATCCAGTGAGCTCTTTGTGTCTTCTAAGTTGGATGCCTGTTGTCTCTCCAGAGAGCTTCCTTTTCTCTCTGTTGAGTTTTCCACGTTACCAGCATGCTGACTTGGGCCTATTTGCTGCCTGAAACCCTGACCTGGCGGGGGATCTGGTGGTGGTGGAAGATCTAAAAATTTTGAATAATGTTTAGAATGTACTAAAATTTAATGAAAAAGACAGGTTTTATTTCACGCTGAAGAAAGTCCTTGCCCTCATACAGGTATGGCCCATGCAAAAGAAATTTGGGGAAAGTAAAAGTCAGTCATTTATATCCAAAATGCATATTATTGATCTCTTTGCTGCCTTTTGACCACAGCATCTGAAATAAAATCAACTAGTTCTATCAAACTCTTTACATGTGCGAAGTCAGCATTTTCAATTGCACATGGAGGCTAAAGTTTAAGGTGTAAAAGGCAGTTTACAGTTTTCCCACGTTTAATCCATTGCCCACTCCCACCCCATCAAAGTAGAACCACCACTTCACAAAACAAGATGACTAGGAATCCTAGCAGCCGTGCTAATGAAGGGCCCTGGGAAGAACAAAAGCTCTCCTGCCAATCTCCATAGGAAATGTCGCCCTCGGGAAATTAAGAACTATATGCCGTATCACACGCAGCATATGACTGCCTTTATCCATGTATGTGGCACATTTAGCAACAGTCAAAGGGTTAAGCTAACATTTATTAGATGCAATTAACATTCTGCCTGACAACCAATTCTGGCTGTTCGTTTCATGAGTTAACTAATGAGTTACAACTAATACATTATTAATTTTAATAAGTAATACCAATGTTCAGAGTACAGATTGAATCTGCTTCATGGTGCTAGAGTAGACAATGCATTATGAAAATCTGAGATGTAGTGGAATAGATAATTTTTCAAAAAGCCTCTTTAAATTGAGTATCATGTCTGCAAAAATTAAAACTTCAATAGTCAGCTAAGTTTTCCTTTTCCTTTTATTAGCTCTTCAGATCGTGATACCTTCATATTTTGAATGTCTTCAGTTATGAAATCATACTCCCCTCATTTACCTTTAAGTATTATACTAGTTCTGAAAATTATTTTGTTGAAAATTGTCCTGTTTATTTTGAAATCTTCTAAAGTTCTTTTGGATTATTTTTCTTCTAATTTTTCTTGCATGCTGGTGTAGATTTCTTTGTTCATTCTTAGAGTATGAACCCATACCAAACCCACTACCGTCGAGTGGATTCCGACTCATAGCGACCCTGTAGGACAGAGTAGAACTGCCTCATAGGGTTTCCAAGGAGCGCCTGGAACCTTTTGGTTAGCAGCCGAACTCTTAACGACTACGCCACCAAGGTTTCCTTATAAATATATTATACATAATATAATATTTATTAATGGTGGATATTGTATATAATAAGGAGCACTGGTGGTACAATGGATAAGCACTCTGCTGCTAACTGAAAGTTTGGGGGTTTGAACCCACCCAGTGGCTCTGAAGTAGAAAGACCTGGTGATCTGCTTCTGTAAAAATTACAGCCTAGGAAACCCTATGGGGCAGCTCTACTCCATCACTTGGGGTCGCTATGAATTGAAATCAACCTGACGGCACATAACAATAATAACAACATAATATATGATACAGATGATTATTTCTAATGCCATTTTTGCAAAGGTGCTCTTGTTTCTAATAATATTGTTTGTAAAATTTAAAAGGGAAAAGTATAAATTTCTTGTATACAAAAGACAGCTTTGTTAAGGAAGGGTAAGCTACTCCTTTCAAAGACTTAAGAATCCTTATACTCAAATTTATGGCAAAGGGATATTGTCCTCTGTTGAACTGATAATGATTGTTTACTGAGTATTTGCTCTGGGAGTTCCCAACTTAGAGCAGCATTCCCAGTTCTCATCTCTTCTCATTAGATATAAATTACTAATTATTCAAGGTATTGGGTCTCTGTCTGGGGGAAAAAATAGTAGCATTTGGAACATTTCTTCCAAAATGAAAGGCTAATCCTATATTGAGATATCTGTTGCTGAATAATCCACCAATGCTTTCAGTGTTTTTTTTTTACATTCAATGCTGACTTCCTTCAGTATATGTTATTATAATTGCAAATTAATTATTTCTTGAGTATTTGAGTCATTGGACTTAGACAGCTGGGTGATGGGGAATGATTATATTCATTTTCAAAATCACATATCTTGTCATTGATTTTTGAACTCCATCAGAGCAGCCTAATTTTTAAAATGAAAACATGGTATCTGCTTATAGCAGCTAAAATTCTGATTACTATTTAATTTAAACTGAAATTGTATGGCCACATAATTAAGTAATATCCTTGGAGTTTTCATATTCTGAGAAAGAGCATTACATAGACATTGAAAGAAATGAATTGGAAAAAAGGAGATAGGATTAAGAACTGTTGTGGAAAAAATAAAAGTATGTAATCAAATCCGTTTACTTAAATTCATTATTCATTTCTATGTTGATTCATTTCAACTAAATCAATTCACTAAGGAGTCTCTTATTGGCCTGTTGAGGATTTACTAATGTCAGGCACACAATAATCCAATGAGATGCATGTTATTATTATCCTCATTTTTCAGGTAAGAGAAAGGATGCACAAAGATTAAATATCTCCACCCTATATCTCTCCTCCCATGAACTCCAGACTTTTATAATCAAATCTACATTAGACAATTCCACTTAGTTGTTTAGAAAATATCTCGAATTTTATGTACCAAGACTAAGCTCCAGAACTTGCTCCTTAAAATCTGCTTCCTCTGTAATGTTCCTCATCTCAGTTAGTAGCAATTCCATTGTACAAGTTGGCTAAAATCGTTGGCTTCCTTGCTTTACAGCCTATACCAACTTCATCAGCAGATTCTGTAAACTATACCCAGAATCTAACCTTTCTCATCTCTTCCACTGATTCTACCTTGGTATGAACCACCATCATCTATTCTCTACATTACTTCTACAACCTCCCAGCTGGTCTCCATGCTTCCACCCTTGCCCTGTTGAGTCTGTCTCAACGCAGGAGATAGAGTGATTTTTTTTTTTCCTTTTTTTTAGAGTGATGATATCACTGCTCTGCCTTAAACAAACACACACACACACCCCTCTAGTGGTTTCATATTCAAGGTAAGAGTCAATGCCCTCAGAGTAGCTTAAAAGTCTTACAAACACTGGCCCTTGATTACCTCTGGCTTCATTTTCTAGTACTCCCTTTCTCCCTCCTTCTGTTCCACTGGTAAAGCTTCCTTTGTTTTTCATCAAATAAGCCCCAGGCTTTCACTTGCTGTACTCATTTCCTAGAATGAGCTTTCCTCAGATGTCAGCATTCCTCTTTCCCTTATCCCTTTCATTACTATGGGCTGTATACCAGCCACTTTTTATGCCTCTGGACCTCGTAAAACCCCCAAAAATAAACCTGTTGCCGTGGAGTGGATTCCAATTCATAGTGACCCTATAGGGCAGAGTAGAACTGCCCCATAGGGTCTTCAAGGAGAGGCTGGTGGATTTGAATTGCCGAACTTTTGGTTAGCAGCCTGTGCTCTTAACCACTGTGCCACTAGGGCTCCCTCTTAGTACGTTTTTCCGGTTCTAATGCATTTAGCGTCAAGGTGGGTCCCTTTTGAAATGTGTGAAGCTCAGCAGACGGAGTTGGAGACTCACTTTTGTGTAGGTTGAGCATTCTATTAGGCGATGCCTCCCGGATGTGTTAGTTTGGTAAACTTTTGCCTTTTTTCCCTTATTTCTGTGAGATAAGGCTTGCAAGTGTGAGTATGGCTAGCTGGAAGCCCTGGTGGCATAGTGGTTAAGAGCTGTGGCTGCTAACCAAAAGGTCGGCAGTTTGAATCTACCACGTGCTCCCTGGAAACCCTATAAGCAGTTCTACTCTGTCCTACAGGGTCGCTATGAGTCAGAAATCGACTCAACCACCACAGGTTTGGTTTTGGTTTATGTGATAGTTAGGGAGCCCTCATGTAACATAATGGAAAAGCACTCGCAATAAACTATTTAGTTCTTACTGGTATATTGTCATACCCCAGACTGGTGGCGCCACGGTGCCACTCACTTTACTGGTGGCTTGTATTACCAGATTATATATTTCAAAATCCATAACTCATATAAAAAATTCTGAATTGGTCTTTGAATTAGCTTTCCATAATTACTGAAAATGCATAGCATCAGACATTTTTTTTAGAAAATAAAAATTTAGGAACGAAAGGGTTATTTTCTTCCTGTCTTTTCCCAAATGCCACCTTCTCAGTGAGGCCTTCCCTGAGCATTCTACTTAAAAAGGAAACACTTCCTCTACCCCATACTGCACAACTTTCTTCGCTATAAGTTTTTTATGGGCAAGGCACTTATTATCTTGTATATTTTATATTTTCACTTACATATTTTGGTTGGTATTTATTTTCACACACTAAAATGTAAACTCCAAAAGGGCAGGGAATTTTGTTTGTTTGTTTCCCATTGCTTATCATATGGTAGGTGTTCAATAAATACTTGAATAAATAGGTGAATGAATAAATAAATTTGCTTAAAGGTCAAAAGCTAGTATGTGGTAGAGCTGGGAAACAGAAACTTTTCTGAATAGAGTATTAGGAAGTAGAGCAGGCAGGCTGGAAAGAGATGACTTAAGGTAGAAATGTTAATGGGAAGAAACCTACTCCCTCTGCCTTCCTTGTTCAGCGTTGGTCAGTCTACTGGATCCAAAGATTACTCTTTGGTTTAAGATGTAAATAGAGTAGAAGATTTGGATTGAGCAGTGCCTGTTTAGGAGAGACTTTACATAGGTTTTTTTTTTTTTTTTTTAATAGTCTTTGAGCAGAGATTGGCAATTCCCACCAATCCCATTTCCTCTCATTGGAAACAAAGGAAGATTACTTTTCCACTATAGAAGTTTCTTTGATGCCATGTGACTGAGTTCTTGTCAATAAAATATGAGCAGAGTGTTGTGTACCTTTTGCAGGCCTGGTAATAAAAGCTCCAACTGATCACTTATGTTCTCTTTTCCCCTCACTCAGAAATGATAATGGTCTCATCTTCAAAATGACAGTGTCCCAATATTAAGATGCCTATACCCTTCTGTTACTGCTTAGAGGAGAGTCACCTGACCTTTACTGTGCTAAGCCACTGAGAGTTAGAGGTTTTTTAGTATAGCAGCTGGTGATAATGACCCTCATATGCTCATAAAATACTATTGCAGAATCTATAATGCCAAAGTTATAGTGTAAAATGTCTATACACTAAGTGCTATTGAAGAGCAATCTTCCCAAAAGGAAAAATACACATGTACAAATGTTGTGAAATTATTCCCTCATTCCTACCATATACAGGCTATGGCATATACATTTGCTGTAAAATAACAATATCCTTAATGATAATCTATAGAGCGTCATGCAAAATAAATGTCCTTGTATCATATAATTAAAATGTCTTTGGATCAAATACTTGGGTAGACATGTGAGCTGAAATTTCTTTTGCAATATCATTACTTCTAGACTGCATTTACTGATAACACATATTCCATAACTCCCTAAGGAATACTGGCAAATTTTGAAATTAAGGGCTCTTTTTTTAGAAAGATAGGTAATATATTGATCATGCTTCAAAAGAGGTAGCTTGCTTTAACCAGACTTTTTGAAAAAGCTTTCAAGGAAAATATTCTAGGAAGAAAGAAGTAAACTTTCCATTTTGTTGATTTGTATTTTATATCTTCCACATATTCCACATATAGTCTTCAAACATCTCTAAAAAATTACAGAGAAACATATACTGGATTTTTTTTTTCTCTTTCCAAAACATTCAGGGCAGGGAAATTACATAAAATTTTTAATGCTTTAATTTACTGTGAGCACACTGTTGTGAGCAATTGTTTTCTTTAGAGAGAATAAAATCAACACTACATATTGCTTAAGTGCTCAACCCATCTTCAGAACATCTCAGGCAGAAATGTTGTTGTGAGCATTTTTGCTCACCAAGGATATCAATTTATAGTGAATCAAAAAATCACTATCCTTACCCATATATTCCAAACATTGCCAATAAAAACAAATAAGGAAAGATAAGTAAACATAAAAGCTTTAAGAACTAGCTATGTTTGGCTTTTTAAGTCTTCTTAGCATGAAAAAATGGCAAAAGTCAGCACCAAGATGGCTGCCAGACAGAGACTAATAAAGACCAATAAAACCAATAAAGAATCAACTTTCTTCTTTTCAAACTAAGTCTCATTCTGTCCTATATTGATACGTCGCAGACGGAAATAAGTGCTCAGGACTAGGTCATAGTTTCACTAGTTTGAATTAGATTTACCTGTGGAGCTTTGAAAAATACCAGCAACTGGTTGGTACCCCACAACAATTAAATCAGAATCTCCAGAGTATATTTTAAGAGCTTCCCAGGTGATCTAATGTGCAGGTTGTCTAGATTCATCCTGTTGATGTTTAGTAGAACTATCTCAGAAAAAAATTTGTGTGCTTGTAGGGGACAATGCTGAGAAGGGGGAATAAATTTACCTTTGGGCCTGACATTATACTAGGTACTTTAAATATCTTATATATTCCTTAGAATAAAATTACAGCATACATATTTTTATTCATATTTTAACAGTTGGGAAAATTAAATTGAATACATGGGAAACAGATCCTGCTGGGTAAGGCTCACAAACTACTCATTATTGAACAAGACTGTCTTCCGGTAATATTGTGTTCCCTAAAACTAGTGGTGTTTAAACAAATATTCAATGATTGATCCTATAAATAAATAAGGGGGTTGGACTGGACCAGAAAACTACGGCCTGTGGGCCAAATTCGGCTTGCCATCTGTTTTGTAAATAAAGTGTTAACGGAAATCAGTCACTCCACATGTACTTGTTGATGTATTATCTATAAGGGCACTTACACTATAACGATTGAGTGAAGTAGTTGTGAATGTGATCCTGTGGATTGCAAAGCCAAAAATAAAAGCTGGATTTTACAGAAAAACTTTCCTGACCCCTCAAATGGATGATCTGCAGCATGCTATTAGCTTTGAAATTCATGAAACTGAAACATTACTAAATTACTAAATCACTTTAAGTTCTTTTCCAAAAGTGCAATGCTATCTAAGATATCTTAATTTAACATCATGAATGTTCCAAAAAGATGACAACTGCATGCACATGCTGCTTATGTTTTCTTTCCTTATCTTAAAGTGGAGCCTTCACCGAAAAGCATTCATGGAAAATGCCAGAATGGCAAAAAAAATTCAACATTGAAAACTGATGTGGCATGAATTCCTGGGGTATGGCAATATAGAAATAGTTTCAGAGTGCTAATTAAGAGGGTGTTTTATTTAAGCAAGACCATATTGCCAGGTTTTTTGCCTTGTTTTGCAATGATGCGATGCCTAATCTACCATAGCCGCACTAATCTAAGCTAAATGACTGCACAGAGAACATCTTTTAAATGGAGAGATAAGAGGAAGGAGACAAACTTACCGTCTGTCATTCCTTCCCTTCGATGAGGCAATGCTGGTTGTTGGTCCATTCGTCCTCCCTTGTGTTTTTTTGTGGGCCGAGGCCTCTGACTTTGACTCAGAGCTGCGCTGGTGTTACTATCAGTAGAAAACGGGCTGGTTGGTCGAGGTCTTTGAGAGGAGGTAAAGGCTTTGCCTAAAAAGCAACAACAACAACAAAAAAGGGAAGGGGGGATAGAGAATGCTATTATGAAACACTGATTCTGTCTTTCTTGTATTTTTATTCTTACTGACTTGTCTACCTGCCTGGATAAACTCTTTGAGGATATCAACTACTGGTGCATGTTTATAGCAAAATCATACCCTGCCCCATTAATTGAGTCAGAACCGACAACAAAAACATTTTTAATAAACAAACAACACCCCCTACCAAACAAACAAATCAACAAAAAGCAAATCTACCAACCAAAACTTGATATTTTTTAAATATATTATTATTTAACTTCGATATGCTTAGTGATATATTCATAGACACAAGCAAATTCATGCAGATTTTAAGTCTTAAAATTAAAGAAGCTATTTTTGAGATGAGTTGTGTACTGTCTTATTTGTTTAATCAAATTTTACCCCTGGAATCTTAAAATATCTTTAAATCTCCGAGCACAGAAAAAAATGCCCTGTAGTAACTATATTTGAAAGTTTACATGAAGGGTCTGCTCAGATACAGATATTAAATTGACCTTACCACACAATGAATTCTACCTTTTTTAGCAGAAACACAGTAACATCAGTGTATAGGATAGATAGCTGATTAAAAATCACCCTGTATAGCCAAGTACAATAGGTGTTTTCTGATGAATATTATTGTATCTGAGCAGACTCCAAACTGGCATTGAAAAATGAAATGTGCTATGTCCTTTTCTTTTGGTTTAGGGTGCATATGCTAGGAAATTTATTCTGGGAAAAGGTTAGGTAATAAATTTCAACTTACAATTTTGATACCGTGCATATTATGGTAAGAGAGGCCTGGTTTATGTGCATGTACTTATTCTCTTGTGAATGTATTCATTTCATACAAAATTATTGCGTATTATTAGCTAATAGCATACATGCAAGAAATGCACTTATGTCTTCTAATTTATTAGTTTCCTTGCACTTTCTCACTGCTTTCCTTATAGCTCTGCAACAAAAAGCACTCAGGCAACATAAAGTTTCTGACTTACGGCTTATAAAGCAAGAAAATTCAAATAACCATTATATTACAGCATATTTTAGTTTGGATGCCATATGAAAAATAATCCTCTGCAATGCTTGGAAAATCTTTTTTTATTTCCTTTGATGATACCTAATGCATGCTCAAAAGAAATATTGATGGTATAATTCAAAGGAAATTTTCAAGACACTTTTTTTACAACTTGAGAGTTTAGAGAAGGGTCAAAATCATTCGTCTTTATTTTTTACTTTTCTTTTTTTGAACTTTATTATTTGAATGCTATTAAGATTTCAAAAATTGGCTTAATGTTTCATTAGTTTGTTTCTTAAGATAGCTCAGTTTAATTCCCATATTAGCACCCTCTTATATGTGCATGTAAGTAAATATTCTCATATAAAAGCATGCATTGTGCTAAAGTTATTTTGTTTCAATAAAATGAATGATTACAAATTACCAAGCTATTATTAGAGTGAATCCTTCATTTCTTTCTTATGGAATGAGCAGACACATGAAAAATGACTTAATTGGTCTTTTACTTATTATTACTTATTACTCCCAGAAACCAAAATTAGATTACTCCAAAGAGCAATACACACGTAGTCATCATTTTGTTCAACTTGCAAATGCAGTAGGTGTATTTTTTAATTAGCATCCTTCCAAACAAATAATAAATTATTGGATTAAAATCTTAACAGTCAAACAATTAATAAAACCATCAGCTATTTGATCTGTTAGACTGACAGCCTTAGACCCATTCACCCCATGCTGAGAAAGCCTTCCCAGAAAGTACATTTGCAGAAAGAGATGGGGCAAAGGAAAATAATGGAGATATAAAGCGGAATAATTTTAATCACTGGGTAATTATTGATTGTGTGAGGGTTTTGCAAAGTGTGCGTTATTGAAAATTTAATGGCAAACTTAATTGCTGCTTTGCTGTAATATAAAAAGGAAGCATATTCCAATTAATCAGCAGCCATGAAGAGAAAGGGATGAAAGGTGGTAAGAAGAGCCTATTCTTGGCTTTGCAGAACTAGCACCAGAAGAGAGTTCTGGTAACTGAGCATCCAACTTGTGTTCATGCATGTTAAAGAAAGCCCTGCAGTCAGACTCACGGAGGAGAAAGAACAGGAGAAAAACAGCTCAGTGTCCAAAGGACAAGAGTGACTCATGCAAAAAGTGTTGACTTGGAATCTACCAACCTGTTCTTGAAAGGCTGGTTCCATCCAGCCTAAAACCAGCTTTATCTGCTGCTGCCACCAGTGCTTGTGCAAAACTGCCGCTGGCAAAGATGGAGCCATCTGAGGAGCTACCTACACTAGATCTATGACTAGAAAAGTTACGATCCTCATCAGATGCAGAGCCCCATCCATTTACCATTGAACCTAGAAACAAATGTAGTTGTCTAGTGAGTTGTATATATTGGATATCTTATCTGCTTGTACACACTATACTAACGAACAAGTAGCTACCTCAACTACTCACTTCTTCCCTGAGGTAAATGTGGTTTCATCACCACTTCCTTAGCCATACGCAAGCATCATCCATATTTTGAACGTTCTTAGTGCAGAAGACTGAGGCTCATTTAAAACTTGTATCTCGTTGTAGCACATTATCAAAACATGTTCCATATGGTTCAATTTTTACATTTTAAAAATTATAATTTTCCAGAAAAAGAACTGCTGTGTACACTTCAAGTTCCTACAACTACCGAGAAAAACTCTTTTCTTGAAACAAACTATGGTGTATTTAAAGTAAATTTATCAAGAACTCAGTTAAAGAAACAGTGTGAATATGTTTTGAAATGAATGCACATTCCAACCAATGACAACCCACATGATATTGTACAAGGGCTAGAACTATTTCGAGATTTTAAAAATAAAAATTACTCATGAAATAACAAAGAAAATTCATAAACAAAGAACAATTTAGAAACAATACCAAAACAAATCACAGAACAAAAGAAAAACATGTATCTTTCAAAAGTTCTGTTAATTTCAAAGCCCAATACGCTGTCTTTGCTTTTCATTATTTTAAGAACGCCAGCTTTCTCTTTAATACTACTTTTTATTAGGTATTATGAAAGAACATCACCAGTATTAATATGGATCTTTTCGGCAACATTCAACGGGACAATCAAAGAAAAGAATGGAAGCTTTACGTGTAAAGAGCTGTAAAATGTCAAGATACTGAGAAATAACTTTTACTCTTAAATTTATGACAAGTCATTTACAATTATATATTTTTCTTAGCTAAAAGCACAGTAGGAATTTAACCTATTAATACAATTAATATTGCAATATTTACTTAATTTTATAAATCATTAACTCATGACACAATAAACTACCAAATATTGTTGTCACTATTTTTTTTAAAGAGGAGCAAAAAAGTATTTCTAAAAAGGATAATTTAGGATTTCTAAATAAATCAAACAAATATTCACACGAAAGAGCTTAAATTCTAGTGTTATAGATTATTTCTCTTTTTCTCCAACATTTAAGAGACAATAGTACAGTTAGGAGTGTTGCAGTGATACAGTATTTGCAATTTTAGCCGAGGTGCCAGGATACAATAACACGGGTTCATGCACCTTCAAGACAGAGAAAACAGAAACCGAAGGGGTTAGAAGGATCTAAGAAGTTAAAAGGGTGTTAAGTGTAGCAGAGAAAGATAAGAGTTTTGAGTCTATTTGCCAAAAGCACAGAGATATACTTTTTACTTTCCAAACAAATTCCCTTGACACAGACCACTGCGAGGAAGTCAAGATAACACCAGCATCTGAGCCTCCTCTGAGAGAACTATTTCTGAGTTAATAATCACAAGTCACGGACCAACAGCCCAAAATGAAAGGAGAAATGACGCAATAGGCTTTGCAATATAATGCTACAGTAGATAAGAAAAAAATCAAAGTGATGCAGTCAGTGGTCACAAAAGAATACGAAATCCTAGAACTGAGAACAGTTTTGAAATATTTGAAAGCTCAGTCCCAATCCCTCCCATGGGCTATCTTCTATATTTCCAAATGTCTGCTAAACATCTGCAAATAAATCCTCATCAGCTATCTCAAACCCTTATTCTTCATCTCCAATTCTATTCCCAAGCTCCTCCTCACTGATTTCCTTCTAGTCACTCCTATCTTCCTTACTGCCATCTAAATTATCTTTCTGAAACATCTATCATATAATTTTGTCCCTCTGTTGTAATTTTGTTCCTCACCTTACCTAGTTCTCCAATGTCACGTCCAAACTGAGAACTAGGCTTTTGAAATCCTTCAATATCCAGCCCTGACCTACCTTTCCAGCCCCAACCCTCTTATAGCCCCAAGCAGTCCCATAACCTGACCTGCACAATATAATTTCCCGCTCCTTGGACACACCTCTGAATTGCTACAACTCTATTGACCATTGTAAACTTTAAAGTCTACGTCAAATACCATCCTCTTTATCACCTTTAGTGATATTATACAGTAGAAATTCATAATTCATTTATTGAATTACATGCCTTCAAAATTTTCAATATTCACTGTAAACTCTATGTGAGATTCTATTTGACATGCAATTTCCTAGCAATCACCGAATTTTTAGTTACAGAAAGAATATCTTCATGGGAACTCATAGACAAAAATTTTAAATACAGAATATTACATTAGCTAACTCTTGCTGATTATTTGGACAATGGGGAAAGCAGTGATGTAATCATCCAAAATGAGAAAGTAAAAAATTAATTTATATGTATCTTGGTTATGGTTTGGTATAACTTAATACTGATATTTGTCAATATTTTATACAAATTAATATAATAAAGTTACATTTCGAAGATTTATTAAAAAATAGTGACATTATTTATTTTACTTCTCCATTTTTGCTTACACATCTTAACTCACTTAGACAATTTTTTTTTTTTTTTAAATTCTCCCTTCTCCACTACAGTTGGCTGAGAAATATTTGGGTCTGGTTTTCTCTGTCTAAGCCTGATAGCTGTGTGATTTCAGCCTGTGCACCTAGTAAGCTGACAAATTCAGACTCTGAACCTGCAAAGCTTTGGACAAAATGCTGCACCACAGCAGTGTCACTAAAGAAATGTCATCCTGTGAGGTTTCCTCTCAGGGAATTAGTTTCCAAAAACACCCCTATTCATCTTCAAGTCGTTCATAAGAGGATTTTCATACAAATATTTGCAATCTCTTCAACAGATCCTGTAGGAGTTCCTGGGTTGTGCAAACAGTGAACGTGCTCGACTGCTAACGGGAAGTTTGGAGGTTTGCGTCTACCCAGAGGCGCCTCGGAAGAAGGGTCTGGTGATCTACTTCTGAACGATCAGCCACTGAAAACTCTGTGGAGGACAATATTTTACTCTGACTCACTTGGAGTCACCCTGAGTCAGAGTTAACTCCATGGCAACTGGTTTTAAACAAATCATCCACTTTTCTGCCTTTGCACTTTACTCTTTTTCCCAACTTTTAATGCTCCTTGCCAGGTCCCAGAAATCCCATTAATCTATCAACTTTTCCCTGACAATTTTTTCCTGTCTCTGTGAAGACACAGTGGCATGGAAGACAGAGCTTCAAGAGGGTATTGGTCAATACAGAAAGATCACCAGCTACTCTTTCTCTTTTATTCTCTGTGTGAGCAAAGAGATTAGATAGATGACTTCAGAGTTGAAGAGATGTGTACCACTGAGGTTGGGCACGGTGGACAACTGGAAGTCTAAGCACCAAAGATCAGAGAGAAAAACTTCATGTTAGCGTCATTCTGTTGGCTTTCAAGATGGGATATAAACAGAAGAAAATAAATTTTCTCTCCTTGTCTTTCTGTCTATCTTTATCTTTGATACCCCCTTCTCTCTATTTGTGTATCATATATAATGGGCATATTTTTAATGATATTTGGCAACGCTCCATGTATAAAAAGTATAGAACATATATTACACTTTATATTTCCTCCATGCTGCTAAAGTCTTCATATTTATTTAACTATTACTGATTTCAACTCTGTGGCTACCATTCTTCTCCCTTTAGATTTAAGCATCAAGAATGATCATGAAAAAAGACCAGGCTTACTGGTCTGACAGAGACTGGAGGAATCCCCGAGACTATGGCCTCTGGACACTTTGCTAACCAAGAACTGAAACCATTCCTGAAGCCCACTTTTCAGACAAAGATTAGACAGGCCTATAAAACAAAAAATAACACACATGAGGAATGTGCTTCTTAGTTCGATCAAATACAGACGATCAAATGGGCAACTCCTGTCCAAAAGCAAGATGAGAAGGCAGAAAAGGACAGGAACAGGACGAATGGATACAGGGAACCCAGGGTGGAAAGGGAGAGTATGCTGTCACATTGTGGTTATTGCAACCGATGTCAAAAAACACTATGTGTATAAATTTTTGAATGAGAAATTAACTTAAGTTGTAAACTTTCACCTAAAGCACAATGAAAGTTGAAAAAAAAGAATGATCTAAAGACAAAAATTGGAAGAAAGATATTGATTCCTTATATTAAAATTAAGCATCTTTGGTGATAATTGGGTTTCTTTCAGCAATGTAAATATAAACATGAAAATTGAAATGAACACCAGGTAAAAACAGCTCAGCTAGAGATTCTTTGCAAATTACAAGCAATCCATACCAATTTGACATTTTATAGCCCTGACATAATCAAAACATATTTAAACATTTAATGAAAAATGAATTTATGTCACATAACCAGATTTACTTGTATTTGCATTTTCAACCTTTCCAAATTTCTCAGGTTTAAATTCGCTGAAATGCCAAAAACATCTCAATTTTATTCAGGCTGCTAAAGAAGAAATGCACATAGGACATTAAACTGTTGCTCGAATGTTACTGAGCAGTAAAATACCATGATAAAGTGGCATCTTGCTGTGTCTCTATTACATCTTCAGCACTAAAATTAATTTATGATCAGTCATCAATTCATTTACATGTCGTTTTATGCTAAATCCTTCCTTGCTGATTAATGCTTATCCCTAGATCCATTAAGCTTAAAGTCTGTGCTTTATAAGATGACCCCGCTAATTGTTGCATTACCATTTTTATGAGATACAAAAACTAGCTACATATCCCCCATATTTCCAGCCAATATTTAATCCAGGAACTCTTCTTATTAAGTGCAATCTGTCTAACTATTTGTTAAGTAAAATCTTCAGCTCTAAGTGTCTTTGGACAAATCAATCCAAATATTGATCACTGCCTAGATGTGGAAGCCGTATCTAACCCTATAGGACAGAGTAGAACTGTCCGATAGGGTTTCCAAGGTGTGCCTGGTGAGTTTGAACTGTCGACCTTTTGGTTGGCAGCCTAGCTCTTAACTACTATGCCACCAGGGTTTCCTGTCTAATCTATAGAAGTCCTTATTAAAAAGCAACAATTCCACCTATGCTCCTCAGATGCAAAGGAGTATGTGTTATATATGCAAAGCAAAATAAGCAATTAAAAACAAATCTTCCTTGGGACAAATGCTACCTGTTAACTTATTTTTCTCAGACAAAAATTGCACATATAAGATTTCCCTTTCATCATTTAAATTTTGAAGTATATGTTTCATTTGTTTTTAAATACATCCACGCTGTTAAGGTGGTGCAAGAAATCGACTTAACTACTTTTAGCATTATCTCTGAAATTTTCCTTAACACGTAATATTTTCCTTAAGTTTCTGCAGTAGAAACAAGAATTCAGGTCATACTTTTTTAGTGGCTGTATGGTCCAGTCAGATGATGGGACTGCCAAGTTTTATTGTTTTCGTACTGATCTGGGGTAGGAGTTCCAGTAAAAACCTCCAAAGACATAAAATACAGAGCCACAATTTCCTTTCAGCCATGGTATTTACGTAGGGTACAGCAGCCAAGGAAACTTCTATTTGTTTCACTCCACAGCACTTATTCTCAGCTTTACTTTTTGTGATCAGTGAGGCAGTCAGAATCTTGACTACAGGCTCAGGGCATTTTCCTCCTGTCCTCTGTATCATTGCCTGCTGTTGCTTTTTCCCTACGATAGTGTCATTAAATTCAGGAAACACTTACTCCTGACTCCCATCATGGAAGCTAGAGAAAGAGGTATTGAAGGCACTCTCCCTTGCTCCTCAAACACGGTAGGTTTGGTACTTAGGAAGAAATATTACAAGTCCATTCCAGAAGATTGAAAAAGTCCTTTATTTTCACTTTCTAGCCAAAAAACAGAGTGTGGTGTGCTATAATCAGAACATTTTTGTACTTTATTGCAACCAAATATGTATAAATTATGAGTTTAAAATAAAAATTATACAAATGAGACCTTAGAAGAAGTACTGAAATAGTTGAATTTTATTAGAATGGGTCTCGATAACTGAACATAGAACTTAAATATGAGATAAACACATAAGAAAAGTTACTTTTAAAACTTAGTATTTTGATTTTCAGCGATAGGATAAGGACTAACACTTCCAGAGATAAACTTTATATGCTGTATTTGTACAAATAAATACTTATTCATACACACACAATATATGCATCAGGTAGACGACCTTGAAAAAGGCATGAACCCCCTTTGTGATTCAATGTCTTTATAAAATGAGACTAATTCTAGGACTGTGAGGATTAAAGGAGTTAAATATATGTTAGGACTTTAGAACAGGGGTGGAAAAACTTTTTTTTTTTTTTGGTAAAGTGCCAGATGCTAAATGGTTTAGGCTCTGCGTTCTGTCATATATCCTTCTTTGTTTTTGCTAGTTTGTTTCTTGTCTTTTTAAAACCCTTTTAAAAATGTAAAAACCATTCTTAGCTCACTTGGCCATAAGAAAAACAAGCCACTGCTTACAAGAAGGCCTTGTATTTGCAAAGTGTTAGATAAACGCTAGTTGTTACTACTATTATTATCGAATCTAAATTCATAGTCAAGTGATTGGAAGTAACCGGCATCAAATAAGTGGCCTTTTTGGGAAGAAATACAGTCTCTACGTGGTTCAAACAGCTCATGTGCTTCACTGCTAACTGAAAGACTGGAGGTTTGAGTCCACCCAGAAGTGCCTCGAAAAAAGGACATGGCAATCTACTTGCAAAAAATCAGCCACTGAAAACCCTATAAAGCACAGTTCTACTCTGACACACACGGCGTTGCCATGTGTAGAAATCAAATAGATGGCCACTGGTACAGGTGGGAATAAATAATTGTCACATGGGCTCTGGGGCTACTGATATTTTTCTCTTTTGTTGGCCCTTTTCATTCATGAACTACATTAAAAATTTCAGAAGTCTCTCACAAACTGCTTAGCTGTTATACAAATAATTGGAGTTACTGTGCTTTTTTTCCCCCCACAAAGATGGATTCTATACCTTGTTAACTGATGATATTCCCCAATGTGGCAGCTGCTGGAGTTCAAATAGAAGAAAAAAAATCCTACGTAATTGTGTATACAGGCTTATTAGCCCATTCTGGTGTTATCATTGGACTATCATTCTGATTGGCTTTAGAGTTTCTGGGGATGGAACATAACTGTTAATTCTATTTAATAGAAATGGTCATTCATTTTATGAAAATGAAAATGGCTATCTGAGAATTTCAGGTGAAAGTAATGAGTATTTACTCAAACCATAAACAGATTAGGAACTCAAAGTAATTTATGGTAAGATCCGAATGCTTTGTGTGGGCGCTTACTCTCCTAAAAAATAAAAAACGAATAAAAATGGTACCTGCTTTATTGCCCATCTCATTTAGCACAATTAAACTAAGTCTTAAGCTTCTAAAGAAAATATAAGCACTTTAGAACTTTATTCATTAGCATGTTGCTTTCTATTACATTCAGTCTATGTATACGTCCACCTAAGAACTATCTCCCCTTACACATGCGCACATGCATTCTACATACACTCACATATCCTATCTACCTACATTTACACACACACACAACATACTCTCACACAGCCTACTTAGAGAGTCTGACACACATTCTACTGCGCAGTGGATCACTTTTGTGTGGTCTTTCTAGCCAAGTGATTGGGCAGGACTGTTTGATACATACCTAAACACCCTGACGTTTTTATGTATGGCAGGTAATTAAGCAGTGAATTCAAGTAGGAAAACACTTTGTTTTCTTAGCGATAAAAGCTTCATTTGGAATGAACATTATTGTAGTTACAAGAGAGATGCAGATTGTTTTTAACCTTTGTCACATTAGAAAGTCTAACATGTTACTAACAGGTGAGCTTGTAAATATGCAAAACGCCATTTTCTTAATTTATTGATATATTAATCATCTTTGACATTATAGTATTTACTGAAAGAACTACATAGACTATAGCTGACTGTTGTCGCCTTATTATTGCAATTCTTTATTGCATTTCTAATGGAAAAGGGTTCAGTATCATTAGTGAGATATGCAAAAATATGCAGAATTTTACCCTGAAGGAGATTATGGCAGAAATTCAGGCAAAGGAGCTTCACATAATAGTGCACTAATAAGTCAGCTCTCTGCATTCAAACATTTAAACTTTTGCTCTGCCACCTTCAGTTGGATCTGGATTTCAAATCACACCCGTATACCCGCAGTTCTTAAATCTTAATTATCCCGGCAAGCACACGAGCCCCTGGGTAAGAAGAAACACTGAAAAGTGGACTCATACATCACACACTGTGTAATTCAGGAAGGGATGTAGAAAAAAATTACAGGTACTCATGCTTCTTCATTGACATAAACCAGTTTCCATCAGCGTTTGTGGAACTCTAGCACATAGTACAAAATCTGTGAAATTGGTGAAGCTCTTGGAGCACAAATAAACTAAGCAGGACTGCAGTAACAAGCCTCCTAGGATGAAGGATGTCATCCACGTAAATGCAGACATGCGTGGGTTTCTGAGAAGAACCCAAACGAAACGCAAAGACTAGATTTAAGTTTGTGGCTGTGGTTAGCTGCTATGGAATTGGCCCCTGAATCATGGCAAACCCATGCACAACGGTGTCAAGCCATTGTGGTACATAGGGTCTTAACTGGCTGATATTCAGAAGCAGATTACCAAGCCCTTCTTCCTAGTCTGTCTTGGTCTGGAAGCTCCACTGAAACCTGTTCAGCATCACAGCAACACACAAGCCTCCACTGACAGATTAGTGGTGGTTGTGCTTAAGCTGCACTGACCGGGTAAGGAACCTGGGCTTCCTGCATGGGAGGTGAAAATTCTACTACTGCCCACCAAGTTTGTAGTAGTTATGTCTTAATAGTCATATAAGAGACATTTTGTGTTAAGAATGATGGCTAATAGGAGAGAAAGACTGAAATTTTACTTTTCTTCATATTCATTGTGCAGTCATTTTGGGTTGGATTTTTTTTTCCAACAAAATTTGACAAATTTAAATCCTTGGAAATAAGTGGTGAATCAGTCTTGGGATTACCATAGAACAGCACTGATAGCAGCCTTTCATTTGGTCAAGAAGGCAAGAGGAAGCCAAAGGAGTAAACAGTAAAAATAACTATATTTCTTGGCAGAGGAGCAATTATTGGATTCAGCAATATGAAATGCATAAATGCATGGTTTATCTCACTATACATTTTCTCCACTCCAAAATAATAGCTTGTGCTTCTCTGAGAGGCTTATTCTGAAGACTTTTGCTTATTTTCATCAGTGAAAGATTTTACAGAATGAGATATCAAGAAGTGTTTTAAGATTGTATTCACTTTGTATGTTGCTTCTGATATACAAAACATATCATTTCTGAATGTCAAGGTTTTTTATGTAATAGACTTGGTTCCCTAGTAGAGTGAACTTTTCATGAAAGCCCTGGATATAATTGAGTTTTCTTTCATGTCTTCAAAGCTTTTTAAAATTCATGAATTTTCTTATCATTTTTGCAGCAAAGCAAAAGTATTTCCAAATCCTTTTTGAATTTTGTGTTTAATATTAACATATTTAAAGTGTTACAGAAATAGATGGAGTGGAATAAATCGTACATAAGAAAGTATTTGATTTGTGATGCGTTTGAATGTCACAAATCAGTCAGTTATTCGTATTAAATCAGTTCCATTACCTGTCACAGAGCTGTCTAGATTGTCCATACTGGATCCCGGTGTCTGCTCTAGTGCTCTCAGGGGCCTGTGGATTTCTAAAGCTTCTTCCTCATCATCAGCATCATCACCTGGAACATCTGTTTCCAAATCGGAAAGCAAGGCTCCGGACACATAACCTAATGGTGGAACGGGGGGCTGCGGAGGTTGATTATTGCTTTGAATATGCCTAGAATTCATATGGAATAAAAAAAAAGTAATTTGTTAACATCCGATGCAATTTTAATTAGAATTAAACAGCATTTTAATTTCAGAGTCATGGTAACTAGCTAATTTGGTCTTCTTCCTTTCTATTACTTAATTTTGTAGCTTAAAGTGCTTTCATACACTTCAGCAGAAACAGTGGGCTATATACACATGCCTCACCAAAGGAAAAAAAAAAATCAATATACAGTCTTAAATTCTTCTATTGGGTTTTATGTGGGTGATAACCAGTTACTGTGAGTCAATTCCAACTCATGGTGACCCCATGTGTGTCAGAGTAGAACTGTGCTCCGTAGGGTTTTCAATGGTTGGTTTTTTTGAAGTAGATCACCAAGTCTTTCCTCCAAGGCATCTCTGGGTGGACTCGAACCTCCAACCTTTCAGTTAGCAGCAGAGCACATTAACCACTTGGACCACCCAGGGACTCCCATAGGGTGATAAGTGGAGAAAAAAATGCTGACCCATATTTTTGTATAAATAAATCATCAAAAAGGGAATAGGAATATTTGTCCCAAACAACTATTTAAAGCTGACTTTTCTCCTGCAAAAAGAACATAATGATTTTGTTCCCAGTTTAGTGTTGAGGTTTGCTCACCCTGTAACCCCTGGGACCTGCTGGACTTTAGAAAGAAAAAACATCACATGAGGACCTTGCAGTAAAGATCAAAGCTCCTAATAGCCCTTGCTCAACAGTAAGCACATTATCTGCCTTACTTGGCTTTTTTCTTGCATGATCCCCATGACTCATGTTCATTGGCTGTCTGCACTTCAATTCAGTTTAGGGCAGACATGACTATTTTGTGTTCTAACTACTTATTTGTGTGTCTGTCTCATTCACTGAAGTCTTAAACTCCTCAAAGGCAGAAAGGACTTCATCTCAGCATTTTCTGTGTTTAGAATATGAACATGTTAGATCCTTTATGATGGATATGCTTTCTTGTCTCTGTGTTTAATTCGCTCTTCTTATATCTCAAAAGTGATTAGGTTTAAAACATACCGTACACTGATAATGGCCTCATTAATATAACAAAGAAAACCCTATTCTAAATGGGATTACATCCACAGGTAGAGGGGTTAGAATTTCAACACATGTATTGGGGGGCACAATTCAATCCATAGCATTGGTTTGGAGACAACTTACCATTTCTTCTAAACCATAAAGTGCTAAACTAATGCAGTTTATTGTCTTTTGTCACTGTCATTAAAGAGTTAATGTACTACATGTTCTATTTATCTAGGGGCCTGGGGCCACTACAAAAAGTGTAACAATGTGATTTACAGTAGGGACTTTGAGTTACTTGGTATCAGCTAAACCTCTAGAAGGCTGGAGACTAAAGTAAGCCATGTGGATAACTGTCCAGATCTATATGACAGAGCCCCAGTAAAGCTCTAGATACCAGTGCTTAGGTGATCTTCCCTGGTTGGCAAAACTCTGTGTGTACTGTCACATATGGCTTCCAGGAAAGTAACCCTGTCTTTTGACACTACTGGGAGAGGACAATTTGAAGTTTCACATTTGGAACTTTCCTGGAATCTGCCCCATACATCTCTTCCCTTGGCTGATTTTAATCTATGTACTTTCATTGTAATAAACCATAACCGTGAATATAACAGTTTCCAGTGAGTTCTGTGAGTCTCTAGTAGAATTATTGAACTTGAGGGTTGTCATGAGGACTCCTGAATTTACAATTTGTGTCAGAAGTAACTATGGTCTTGGAGACTGCCCTCTAACCTCATATATGAGGTAATTGTTATTGTCACCATCATTTTACAAATAGGGAAACTGAAGCACAGAAATAATAAGCAAGTTGCCTAAGGTCACAGAGCTAGTAAGTGGTAAAGCCAAGTTCAGCTCCAAAGCAGTACTCTCAACCTTGGCTGCAACTCAGTCAAACCCTGCACCAAGACATCAGAATCTCTGGGGTTGGGGATTAGGCATCGTTGTGTTCTAAGGTTACCAGCTGATTCCACAATGCAGCCAAACTTGAGAACATCTGAACTAGAGTCCATGCTTTAAACCACTTTGCTGCATGGCTCCATTAGCTCACTTGAAAGAAATCGCATGATACTTGAAGCATCCAGCCTCAACTTAAATAGTGCTGTTTTATAAAGCAGACCGATACAAGGTTACACGTTCTAACGGGAGACTGTCTTTGACCTTTGTGAGAATATATGTTATGACTGTTTGGGAAAATGCTCTGGAACTTCTGGTTCTAACAAAAGCACCTATGTTTGTAATAAAATTAAGAGCTTTAAATAATATTTCTGTTTTTTGTATCTCTTTGCATGTCTATTTAGCTTGTTTTTTAATAAGTTTATTTACACTGGGAATAAGAATTATCTCATTTTCTGCTGAAACTACCAAAAAAGACACAAATAACAATTTTGCAAAACTTTAACTTCAAGCACGGGATCTAAATTACAGAAGACAATTAGAGGCATGTCATTGAGATTTCATTTTCAAGGGTCAGACTTATATGTTACTATTTGAGAAAAGACAGAAGAAAAAAGCTGTACAAAATTGCAAAATTGGCCCCCTTGTATTTGTCATATTTTCACCGGATGCCTAAGGAAATTGCCATTAATAGCTTAGGAAATTTTATGGATTTATTAGAAAAAAAGTAACTTTGTAATGTATTCTAGTTTTTACGCACTTACTGTTACTAGTGTTGTTTTGTCCGTCTCATTTAATTCAACCCAAAGAAGGGCCTTTCATAACTGACACTGACCATATGTGACTTGAGAAAGCTTAAATTTACATATTCACAACTGCATACAGAATTAATTACAGGCCCTTTGAAGAATCTGAAAGAAGTCTCTTGTTATGGACTTGGAAGTGAGTTCAAGAAAAAGCTAATTGAAGCTAAACTGTAAATCTGAAAAGATTCTGGTGTAGCCCAAAGCATTTTAACTGAAATTCAGAAGATGTATATTCTTCTCGAGGTTAACTGTCTAACTAGCTAGATGACTTTGGTCAAATTATTTAACATTTTGCAGTCAATTTTCTTATTTAAATGATAGAAGAGTTGTACAAAACTATTTCTAACCCTACTTGTATAGTTCTATGAGAATCTCTTAAAAATTTAATATTGAGAGAATGGTTCCTTTACGTATATGTTGAAGGCATGTGACCCCTGGCCTAATGCGGATTAGTTACCATGTTTGCTTTGCTATGTCAAACTGATAGGCCCTTGTCAACTCATCCAGATGAGCCTGCATCATGGGTTGCATCTCTTCTCGTGGGGATGGAGTAAGAGTTGCAGTGGACTGCTGTCCAAAGGAGATAGCAGGAGAAGAAGCCACGCCTCGGACAGGAGGTGTTGGGACCCGATCATCATCTTCTTCTAATTCATCTTCCATACCCTGGTGCAAGTATGTTTGTACTGGTAAAGGCGGGCACCAGCTATCACTGTCATAGCTGAAAGTAAATGCGAAAAAAGAGCACATTGACATGTACACACACACACACACACAAGGACACTGGCAATAAAATGCAACCATGTAGTAACTAAAATGTTCTCTCAGTTTATTTCCTCCTGATCAAGTTATTTATGCTACTATAGTAAATCACCTGTTATCTTAATTTCTAACTGTAACCACATCTGTTATCTCCTTATCTCAATTTATTCTTAAAAGACCTGATTAGCTAATTGTTACACCACAGTTACAAAAAGTAATACACTGCCAACAAAGTTACTCATGTGGAAAAAATAAATCGCTAATTAAAGACAACTAATGAATTCTGTGCTTGTAGATTTAATCACTTTCTTCTCCTGTTTAGCCTTGTGCGTGAACAGAATATGCCAATAGAGCTGATTGATTATCTAAGAAATTTTTGAGTTTTATTTACTCTTATTCCAGATCTATCCTAATCTTTCATTCCATAAGACATGTCAGTCATTAAGACTTTTTGATACAAAATATGTTAAATATCCTTTTGATTCTCTTAATATTCTCAGTAGAAACTAATGATTCCTTTTATTGCAACATCTGAATTCAAATCTACAAAACAGAATTTAAAACTCTCCATTAAATATATTCTAAAAAGAAAAAATATCATTTTAAAGTGGCATGTTTTAACTTTTAGGGACTTTGGTCTAGGAATATAGAATATTAATACAAAAAGCACTTATAATGAAAATCATTTCTATTTATACTGTCTTTGGAGTGCCACTGTTTTCAGAAATCTTATCGATTCTAATATACTTTACAAAGAATTATGAGGACAGGATAAATGATATTATTGAATACAATTCTCCTATAAATTCAACCTCTTAAATATCTCCTAAATTCATTTCCTACACTTTATCCCTACTTCCATGATCACAGTTCAGTCTCCTTATGTGAATAAGCCCATTAGCTTTCCTGGTCTCTCAGATGTCATCAGCACCTCTCTGTTCCATCCTCCATAAAGGCAACTGGATTATTTTTCTGAAATTGTCATCATATCACACCTATCCTTAAAATTATTCAGTGATTCTCACTGATTTAAGAAAAAATCCAAACTCATTAGCTGGGCACGAAAGACCATTCCCCATCTGACTAGCCTCTTTTTCTAACTCCGTTTCCCAACATTTCCCTGACACCAACCTACTCTACTTCATTCTAAGCCCTGGGTTTTCAAATGGCTGTTCTCTGATCATCTGTCTGTGAGCTCCTGCTCTTACCTCGGTCTTCGTTCAAATGTCATCAGTTTGGGAAGCCTTCTCTGCCACCAGCATATGAAATTGATTCACACTCCATAACACTTACATTGTGCCATTTTTGTTATTAAATTGAAATCATTTGTTTCTGTGTCTCTATTTCCCTGCTACTCTGTGAGATCCTCAAACTCAAGAACTCTAAATTCTCAGCACCTATGACAGTGTCTGACAAAAGAAAGATATTCAATAAAGAAACTGAAAATACAGTGAATATTATATATGTATATGTCTTATCTTGATCTTGCTTACAAACACTGTTGTGCTTGTTAGGTGCCATCGAGTTGGTTCCAACTCACAGCGACTCTATGTACAAAAGAACGAAACACTGCCCAGTCCTGCACCATCCTCACAATCATTGCTATGTTTGGGCCCATTTTTGCAGCCACTGTGTCAATCCATCTCACTGAGGGTCTTCCTCTCTTTTGTTGAGCCTCTATTTTACCAAGCATGACATCCTTCTCCAGAACTGGTCCCTCCTGATAACATGTCCAAAGTAATGTGAGATGAAATCTCACCATCCTCCCTTCTAAGGAGCATTCTGGCTGTACTTCTTCCAAGACAGATTTGTTCATTCTTCTAGTAGTCTATGGTATATTCAATATTCTTCATCAACACCATAATTCAAAGGTGTCGATTCTTCTTCAGTCTTTCTTATTCATCGTCCAGCTTTCCCATGCATATGAGGTGATTGAAAATACCATGGCTTGGGTCAGGTGCACCTTAGTTCTCAAAGTGACATCTTTGTTTAACACTTTAAAGAGGTCTTTTGCAGCAGAATTTGATTTCTTGACTGCTGCTTCTATGGGTGTTGATTATGGATCCAAAACAAAACAAAACAAACAAACAAAAAAATGTTGCCGTTGAGTTGATTCTGACTCATAGCGACCCTATAGGACAGAGCAGAACTGCCCCATTGGGTTTCCAAGGAGCAGCTGGTGGATTCAACCTGCTGAACTTTTGGTTACCAGTCATAGCTCTTAACCACTGTACCACCAGGGCTCCATACCAAGTAAAATTAAATCTTTGAACACTGTTTATCATGATGTTGCTTATTGGTCCAGTTGTGACAAATTTTGTTTTTGCCATGTTGAGGTGTAACCCATACTGAAGGCTGTAGTCTTTGATTTTCATCAGTAAATTCTTCAAGTCTTCTTTGCTTCCAGCAAGCAAAGTTGTGTCATCTACATATCCCAGGTTGTTAATGAGTCTTCCTCCATCCTGACGCCATGTTGTTCACATAGTTCAGTTTCTCAGATTATTTGCTCAGCAGATAGACTGAATAAGTATGGTGAAAGGGTACAATCTTGACACACACCTTTCCTGATTTTAAACCACACAGTAATCCCTTGTTCTGTTCGGTCTATCTCTTGGTCTTTGTACAGGTTCCTCATGAGCACAATTAAATGTTCTGAAATTCCTATTCTTCACAATTTTATCTATAATTTGTTACGATCCACACAGTAGAATGCTTTTGTGTAGTCAGTAAAACACAGGTAAACATCTTTCTGGTATTCTCTGCTTTCAGCCACGATCTATGTGATATCAGCAATGATATCCCTTGTTCCATGTCCTTTTCTGAATCCAGCTTGAATTTTTGGCAGTTTCCTATCGATGTACTGCTGCAATCATTTTTGAATTATCTTTGGCAAAATTTTACTTGTGTGTTGTATTAATGATATTGTTCAATAATTTCTGCATTCTGTTGGCTCACCTTTCTTTGAAATTGGTACAAAACTACCAACACTAACTTGTATATTTCCAAATGATTTTTGGCTATTTTCCCATGAGGGTTGTTTCATTTATCCTGTAAAAAACTGAATTTATCATCCATTTATTTGACAATCATTTGGCAGACAACTGGATATACTTCACAGACCATGTATTCCAGTGGGGAAGACTGAGATCAAAGCAAATAATCTGCATTACAGAGTCCTAGGTGAATAAGCCCACGAGTCCCTAGGTGGTGCAAATGGTTAACACTCTTGGCTGCTAACTGAAAGATTGGGAGTTCTAGTTCCCCCAGAAGCACTTCAGAAGAAAGGTCTGGCAATCTTATTTTGAAAAATCAACCATTGAACACCGCATGGAGCACAGTTCTACTCTGACACACATGGGGTCACATGTGAGTCACAGTTGACTTGATGGCAAACAACAAGTGTTAAATTAATTCTGGGTTCTTCCCCCAGAAAAGGGATGTTTTAAGTAGAACAGGTGGAGGCTCAGAAGAAGAGGAACCTGAATACTTTCCTAAATGACAAAAGCTGGCACCAAAAGTAGAAAGTTGGCCTTAGATGAGGCAGAAGAAGTAAGGATGGGTCAGAACACAGAGGGACTCATCAGCCCCAACAAAGAGTTTGGAATTTGGCATATGGGTGATGGATAGTCACTGAGATATATAGGGAATGATATATTTCACCAAGTATCAAAGTCATCTTTGACTGTTCCATCTCCCTGGGCCCCTAAATTCATTTCACCAAATTCCAAAGAGTCTTCCTTCAAAGTTAGTTTTACTTGTAACTCATTTATTCTCATTTCCAGTGCAATTTTCCTCTCTTGCTGAGGCTACCTGAATCATCTTCTACCTCACTCAGTTACAAACTGAAGTGTTTCAGAGGCCCTGCACAGCTTGATAGAAATATTTCTTCTTAAACGTTATTTAAGAATGAACAAATCAATGTTGGAAGAAGTACAGCCAGAATGCTCCTCAGAAGCAAGGATGGCAAGACTTAGTCTC